TGCTGAGGGCCCCCTGGGCAGGACCAGACTCCTCGGCCACGGGCCACGCCCACCTCCGCCACCACCCTCCATGCTGGCTCCCGGCGGGCCCTCTGCCAATCGCCTGCTTCACACCCCTCAGCGCTCCCTGTCGCCTGCTGACTCCGCGGCCCTTCCTGGCCTGGCCCTCGCCCGGCTCCCAGCTGCCACCAATCTCCCCGCCCCCTCCCACCAACCTTTGCACAGGCCACTTCCTCAGACGAGACACCCTAACTCTTGCTCACTCCCTAAAGCCCTTTTCAGGTATCACCTCCTCCAGAAAGCCCTCCCTGCCACCCCCGGCCAGGCCAGGGGCCTCTTCTCTCTGCTCCCTCGGTCACCTGTGCTACCTCTAACACCACACTGACCACACTGTATCGTGAGTGTCTGTTGACGTGACCAACTGCCCTGCCAGGCTGTGAGGGCCTCACGGGCAGAGTCTGCGTGTGATTCGTCTCTGAGGCCCCTGTGCCCACCCGGGCCCTGGCGCAGAGTCGATGCTCAATAAACGTGTGTTGACTGCATGAATGAACGCAGAACTAGGCCGTAATGCTCTTGCCTCAGTTTACCCCTTTGTAAAAAGGGGGTGATGTGGAGGTGGGCCTGCAGACGACCCTGGAGATGTCCCCTGTGCTCTAATCAAGGCCTCGCCCTGGGTGCTGTACAAGGTCGGATTACAGGTGTGTGACCGTCCCAAGAGCTGGCTTTGAGAGGTCAGCAAGGCCCCAGGACTCTCTTGGGAGCAGCTTGGTGGAGCGGAGCACACATTCCCACCTTGTGCCCATGGGCACCTTCCACCTCCATGTTGTCATCGTGCCGCCCTGCCTGACCCAGCCAGAGGGGTCCGATCAGGCCAGCCCTGGGGGTGACTGTAACCTCCATGGTGGTAGGTGGGAGAAGCCAGCACTTCCCCACCCCTTCCTCCCTAGAACCTGGAACTGGCCAAGAAGCAGCAGACACAGGGTGGGCCACGTCCTCTGGGCCCCTCCTAGAAGAGGCCCTGCCCTGAGTGTCTCTTCCAGCACTTGGGAACTCATCTTTGTGCAGAGACAACAAACCGCCTTCATTCCCAGCCTGGGGCGTGTGCCCCCAGAAAGGTCCCTCCTCCACACTGGCGGGGGCATGAGTTCGTGCATTGTCCCATTCGGGGCTGCAGCCTGGAACGACAGCACCAGAAGGATGTCCCATTGAGCAGATAAGGAAACTGAGGCTCCGGGAGGAAGTGACAGGCTCAGCACAGGTGGGGCCTGGGTTGGAGCTGCGAATGGAGGAGACAGGCGTCTGGGTTCCCAGCCTGTCTGTTTCCCCAGCCCAGGTGGGCCGTGGGCCCCCAGCATCTGGGCAGAGGGCCCGGCCTGGGTATCTATGGAGCTGGAGTCAGAGTCCTCATGTTTCCTCTGCACCTTGTCTGACCTCCCCGGGCGCCTGGCCAGCCCCTTGTCGACTGTGCCCTCAGCCCCTCTGTTTCCAGTTCCCTGCCTGGGGGGCCCAGAACCCCAGGCCACTCTGAGACTTGTGTGCTTGGGTCGGCCTCCAGCTGCATGGCTAAGTCCACCCTTGCCCGCCACTGCCCTGCCTGGAAGCAGCCTCTTCCCACGGCCACCCCAAATGCGCCATCTCCACCCATCCTGGTCCCAGACCCTCCATCCTGCACGGTTCCCCAACCGTGACCCCGCCCCTGTCCCCTATGGCCCTTCTCTGAGGTTCACCAGTCCCCCATGCCAGCTCCCACCCCCCCACGGCAGTCCCTGTCCTCTGCCTCAGACCGAGGCACGGTCCCCAGGGGAGAACATTGCCTTTACTCTCACAGGCCACCGAGCCTCAGCACTGCAGGGGCTCAACCCGGCATTGTCCGGGGCGGTCAGCTCCATCCAGAGACTTCAAACCGCCAGTATTCTCACCCCCTGATTTAGCAAATATTCATCTGTTGCTAGCATAAGCCTTCACATCAGTATTTCTCCAAATCCTCCCAGGAAGCGGGTGTCAAGTATGCCCCATTTCACAGATGGGAAAGACAAGGCCACAGCCAAGCCATAGTGGAGCCAGGACTTGAACCCACAGCCCTTGGCACCTGGTGGCCTTCCAAGAGCTCACCCTGCCCTGTCACTGCAGGCCTGGGATGGTCTTCTGGGCACCAGAAACCCAGGCGCAGGAGGGTGTGGGAGGAATAAAGCAGGAACCCCTTACCCCCGGCCCCACTGTCATGGCCCGTGGGGTCTGCGTACCCATCCTGGCTTCCCCGAGTCACTCCCCCACCCGTAGAAAGGGCAGGCAGGGGGTTCTCAGGCCTGGCTACACGGAGAAGTCACCTGGGCCAGGTAGATCGGCCCAGAACTGATCTTCTTTTTAAGCCCTCCAGGAGACCCGGATGTGCACGGGGCTGGTGCCCCCCAGTCTCGGTGGAGCCGGCCCCTGGTCCTCAGGCGGAATGGATGGGATTAAACCAAGCGACGCAGCCAGACGGCCCGGGGTCAAAGCCAGTCTCTGGCTATGGAGCTTGGGCCCCAGTTTCCCCCTCTGGAAGGGAGGAAAAAAGTAATAGGACCCACTTCCCGGGGTGGGTGGGAGAACGAGGAGCGTCCACACGTGGATCGCGCTTGGCACGGCGCCTGCAGGTGTCCGCGCTCGCGGCTGGGAGCATCGTTATCACCTGGTACCTCCGGGGACGAG